TCAAGATGAAAAAAAGATAAAATACCCACTGTTGAAATAATACCAAAATATAACTTACATATTTTATTGTTCAGAGTCCTTTTTTGTAATCTTTACACATTTTGGGGAGGACTTTACAATTTAGTGAAATAAAGGAAAAAAATGAGTGATTACTTGGAAATAGTCTTGTTTGTTAAATGAATAGAAGGTCTGGAAATAACTATATGTTTTTCCCCAATTTTAGGGGGAAAAAATTTCTGACTGGATTATCAACAGCTTTAGACTATAGAATGTGTTAACTGTGACCTTAGCAAATCCCATCGTAAGCTTCCTTAAGATGTGAAAATGAAAATTGGAGCATATAAGGTTATATATTCCAAGGAATAAAGTATTCTGCAAATTTAAATTTATTTTTAAGGCATAAATGCTGTTCATACCCCTTCTAAAATACGATGTAAAGATGTCCCCATTTATTTCCTCCCCATTTTGTCAGTTGTGGTATCACTGATTAAATTTGTTACCTTAAGTGTTTGACGTTTTAGTTCTGTGAATACAAATGCTTATTGATATTTTTTCCTCCTGTAATGTGTTACCAGGTGCTCTATCTCATGTATTGGGTTAAGTTTTACATTTCTGTTTTAGCAATAGAAACAGAAAATGTATGTAGTTAGTTTGAGCCATTAAAAAATGCAATCATAAGAATTATTTAGAAAATCTTTAGAAAGCCCTAAATACATCACAGACTAGTCAATTTTTTGTTAAAGCAGGAGAAAAGCTTCTCTGTTCATTTTAGTAAAAATGGCTTTACTGAGAAATAATTCACACACCATACAGTTCGCTCATTCCCTGTTAATTTTTAAAACCATTTCCTGGGGTCCTTTCACTGCATTTTTCAGATATTCACTGCCTCCTTTTTATATACATATTTTTTTCCTTGATTATTTTTTTAATTGAAGTATAGTTGATATACAATATTTTATTGGTTTCAATATTATATTGGGTTTTCAGTATAGAGCACAGTGATTAAGCAGTTAATCTGTATTATACTCACCCCAACTAGTGTAATTAATATTGGCCAACATAAAAAGATGTCACAGAATTATGGGCTATATTCTCTATGCTGTACTTTCATCCCGATGACTAATTTATAATTGAGATTTTGTGCCTCTTTATGTCCTTCACTGTTTTCACCCACCCACCCTAATCCCTCCCCCATGGTAACCACCAGTCACTTCTCAGTGTCTGTGAGGCTACTGCTATTTTGTTCATTTTATTTTGTTTTTAGATTCTGCAAATAAGTGAGATCATATGGTATTTGTGTTTCTCCGCCTGGCTTATTTCACTTAGCATACTACCCTTTAGGTCCATCCATGTTTTTGCGAATGGCTGGATTTCTTTCTTTTTTATGGTGGAATAGTACTCCATTGTGTATGTGTACCACCTCTTTTTTATCCATTCATCTATTGATGGACACTTAGGTTGCTTCCATATCTTGGCTATTGTAAACAATGCAGGGAGAAATATAGAACTGTGGTATCTTTTCAAATCAGGGATTTCATTGTTTGCAGGTATATTCCCAGAAGTGGAATTACTGGGTCATCTAATATTTCTATTTTTAGTTTTTTGAGGAACCTCCGTACTGCTTTCCACAGTGGTTGCACCAACTTACCCACCAACAGTGTAGGAGGGTTCCCTTTTCTCCACATACTTGCCAGCACTTATTATTTCTTGTCTTTTGGATAATGGCCATTTTAACTGGTGTGAGGTGGTATCTCATTGAGGTTTTGCTTTGTATTTCCCTGATGATTAATGATGTGGAGGATCTTTTCATGTGCTCTTGGCCATCTGTATGCCCTTGAAAAAATGTCTATTCAGTCCTCTGTCCAGTTTTTAATTGTTTTTTTTGGTGCTGAAGCATATGAGTTCTTTATATACTTTGGATGTTACCCCTTATCAGATAAATCATTTATCAATATATTCTCCCATACTTTAGGATGCCTTTTTGTTCTACTGATGGTGACTTTGCTGTACAGAAGCTTTTTAGTTTGCTGTAGTACCACTTGTTCATTTTTGCTTTTCTCTTCCTTGCCTGAGGAGATATATCCAGAAAAAAATTTACTCCTGCTTATCTTCAAGAGATTTTTACCTGTGTATTCTTTTTTTTTTCTTTTAATCCACCTTCACCTCTGCAGCTGATTCTTAAGGACTCTTTCATCTCCACAGGAGAAAGGAGGTGGGAATTTTGGGCCAACTTTTTTTTTTTTTGGTATCATTAATATACAATTACATGAGCAACATTATCGTTACTAGTCTCTCCCCATTATCTAGTCTTCAACACATACCCCATTACAGTCACTGTCCGTCAGTGTAGTAAGATGCTATAGAGTCACTACTTGTCTTCTCTGTGTTGTACAGACCTCCCCGTGCCCTGCACCCCCTACATTATGTCTGCTAATCATAATGCCCCTTTTTCCCCCTTCTCCCTCCCTTCCCACCCATCCTCCCCAGTCCCTTTCCCTTTTGTAACTGTTAGTCCTTTCTTGAGTTCTGTGAGTCTGCTGCTGTTTTGTTCCTTTTGTTTATTCTTTGTTCTTATACTCCACAGCTGAGTGAAATCATTTGGTACTTGTCTTTCTCTGCCTGGCTTATTTCACTGAGCATAATACCCTCTAGCTCCATCCATGTTGTTGCAAATGGTAGGATTTATTTTCTTCTTATGGCTGAATAATATTCCATTGTGTATATGTACCACATCTTCTTTATCCATTCATCTACTGGTGGGCACTTAGGTTGCTTCCATTTCTTGGCTATTGTAAATAGTGCTGTGATGAACGTAGGGGTGCACATGTCTTTTTCAAACTGGGCTGCTGCATTCTTAGGGTAAATTCCTAGGAGTGGAATTCCTGGGTCAAATGGTATTTCTGTTTTGAGTTTTTTGAGGAACCATACTGCTTTCTACAATGGTTGAACTAATTTACATTTCCACCAGCAGTATAGGAGGGTTCCCCTTTCTCCACATCCTCACCAACATTTATTGTTGTTTGTCTTTTGGATGGTGGCCATTCTAACTGGTGTGAGGTGATATCTCATTTTGGTTTTAATTTGCATTTCTCTGATGATTAGCGATATGGAGGATCTTTTCATGTGCCTGTTGGCCATCTGAATTTCTTCTTTGGAGAAGTCTCTGTTCAGATCCTGTGCCCATTTTTTAATTGGATTATTTGCTTTTTGTTTGTTGAGGCATGTGAGCTCTTTATATATTTTGGATGTCAACCGTTTATCGGATCTGTCATTTATGAATATATTCTCCCATACTGTAGGATGCTTTTTTGTTCTATTGATTGTGTCCTTTGCTGTACAGAAGCTTTTCAGCCTCTTGATTTATCTTTGAATTTGGTTTGCTAATATTTTGCTGAGTATTTTTGCATCTGTGTTCATCAGGGATATCGGTCTATAATTTTCTTTTTTTGTTTGGTCTTTGCCTGGTTTTGGCATCAGAGTCATGCTAGTTCATAGAATGAGTTTAGAAGTATTCCCTCCTCTTCTATTTTTTTGAATACTTTAAGGAGAATGGGTGTTATGTCTTCTCTAAATGTCTGATAAAATTCAGCGGTGAATCCATCTGGCTCAGGAATTTTGTTCTTGGGTAATTTTTTTATTTTCAATTCAATTTTGTTGCTGTTAATTGGTTTGTTTAGATTTTCTGTTTCTTCCTTGGTCAGTCTTGAAAGGTTGTATTTTTCTAGAAAGTTGTCCATTTCTTCTAGGTTATCCAGCTTGTTAGCATGTAGATTTTCTACCTGTATCTTCTTATAAGAGTTTTACAGCTTCATGTCTTATACTTAGGTCTTAGTATATTTTGAGTTGACTTTTGTGTATGGTTTTGGACAATAATCTTGCCTCATCTTTTTTGCATGTAGCTATCCAGTTTTCACAACACCATTTATTGAAGAGACTGTCTTTTCTCCATTGTTATTCTTGTCCCCTTTGTCATATATTGACTGTATATGCATGGGTTTATTTCTGGGCTTTCTATTCTGTTTTGTTGATCTGTGTGTCTGTTCTTATACCAGCACCATACTAATTTAATCACTGTAGCTTTGTAGTATAGCTTGAAGTCAGGGAGTGTGATATCCCAGCTTTGTTCTTCTTTCTTAAGATTTCTTTCGCCACTGTCTCCTTTTGTAATCAATGGTCAGAAATAAGTGGTTTGCAGTGTACAAGAGGCGGGTATTCCATGTATAGAGGACAGATAAAATAAGGTCTTGAAGTGGAAATGGGATGAAGGAATGAAAGGAACATTGGAAAGGAAGTTAAAAACAGATATGAAGTAAGGTATGTATCTTAGTGATGAATTATAAAGCAGATGGTAAGAAACTTGGGTTTGTGCCTTTCTTTACCTTGGTTAATGGCGCTTTATTTTAACTGCAGGTGGGGAATAGGATAGACAAGAAACAGTGCACAGCACAAACCTTTCTCACTGATGTTCAGGGAACTGAAGGCCTCTAGTGTTCATTAGTGCATTCATATCTGATTCTCATTCTTTCTTGTCTAACTCTGTTACCATTGGAACTACCATCTTTACCACCCTAGTTCCTTCCTGGCCTCTGCATACTCCTGTGAACAGTGGTGTGGGATTTTCTATTCTATTCTTTCACCATTCCCCTGCTCTCAGCCTTCCAGTGCTTTCTCATGTCAATGAGAATAAAATCCAGAGTCCTTCCTGAGGCCCAGCAGGCTCTGCAGCATGCTCCTACCTCAGAACCTTTATACTTGCTCTTCTCTGACCTGAATGTTCTTTTTCATGTATTCTTTTTTTTTCTACTTCATGCAGGCCTCTATAACTTGTCACCTCCTTAGCTGTTGACTTTCCAGCCACTAAAACATACTTCCAGAATACAGAACCTTAAACACAAAATCATTTCTAATTATTTTAATAAAGTCACATGAGTACTCTGCTCCTGGGCTTATTCTACGTGCATTCCCTTGCCCTGTACTTGATGAGTGGAGTAGTATGCCGCCTACTCTCCTGGTAAAACGTCTGGCTCAAAGGCACAAGATAGTCCCAAGCAAGCCACAGAGACAGTACAGCAGGGAACAGCAGGTTGGATAAGTCCAGATTGTTGGTGCCCAGGACCTCTCAGCTCTTGAGACAATGAAGCTAATCCATGTTTGGTAGTCCATCACATTGGTGTAGAGTCCAGGAGGAGATTCACCACATCCTATACCTCAGCTCACCAATCCTATCTGGATCCATACACCATTCATGAAACATGCCAGAGGCCCTCCAGAATCACCCTAAGGAAGAAAGAAAGGTCACGAGTTTAGTGAAGAGGAACCATGAAGAGGAGGGTGGTCACACGAGGTGGAAAGTCCTTTAGAGCAGGGCAGTGGGGCCTGTGCAGCAATGGAGCTCTGGAGGGAAGTAGACTTCCCACTGCATTAGGGGGAGATCATGGGAATTCTGAAATTACAGAATTTGAAATTGGCAGAGACTTTAACTAAGTGCATCAGTAGTTTCAGAATATTCCTGTCTGATAAAAAAGAGAAATTCATGTGATGAGTTTTTTCACTAAAGTTAAATTTATTTCAGTTGAATGAACTGTTTTTATTTTTCTATTTTTAGGTTCTTACTGCTTTTTTTCTAGTATTAAAATAATCCTTGTATAATGATAGTGATAATAGTTGGTGGTATGTATCTTAATCTTGGCTGTCTCTTTCTTTTTGTAATAGCTTTATTGAGTTACAATAGCACACTATACAATTAACCCATTTACAATGTACAATTTAGTAGTTTCTGGTATATTCACAATGTTACTGCACCATTACCACAGCCTGTTTTAGAAAATCACCCCCAAAAGAAACCCCATACCCATTACAAGTAACCCTCATTTCCTCTCAATCCTCCTAGCCCCAGACAAACTGGTCATTTGCTTTCTACCTCTATGGGCATGAATATAATGGACATTTTGTAAAGGTGGAATCATGTAATATGTGACGTTTGTGTCTGGCTTTCATTTAGCATACTCTTTTGAAGGTTCATCCATGTTGTAACATTTATCAGTAGTCCATTCCTTTTTTATGACTGAATAATATTCCATAATATGGATATGCCACATTTTGTTTATCTAGTCATTAGTTGATGGGCATGTGGGTTGTTTTTACTTTTTTTTGGCTGTTTATGAATAATACTGCTATGAATATTCTCTTGGGTATGTACCCAGGAGTGGAATTCCTGGGTCATTATGGTAACTCTGTATTTCACATTTTGAAATGCTACTAAACAGTTTTCCAAAGCAGCTGCACCATTTTACATTCCTACTAGATTTATGAAGGTTGCAATTTGTTCACATCCTCAGCAACTCTTGTTATCTCCCTTGATTATAGCCATCCTGGTGGGAGTGAAGCTCATATTTGCAAACAATGAATATACTGACAGGAAATCTTGGCAGAGATGTAGAAAAATGTGTATGTCTGTGTGTGTGTGAGAGAGAGAGAAATCAAATGGTTATACTAGAACTAAAAAATATCTGAAATGCAAGTGTCACTAGATGAACATTAATAGTAAGATATGAATGATCTTGAATATAGTGATTTAAAAGTATGCAATTTGAAGAATTAAAAGTAAAATGGACAGAATATCAGGGACCTATATAAAAATATCAAAAGGTATAACATAAATTTCTGGTTTCAACCAGAAGAGGGAAGAGAGAAATGGGCAGCATAATATTTGAAGGATCATGAATGAAAGTTTTCCAACTTTTGATGAAAGATTAAAAAAAAAACCTCAGTGGATCTCAAATAGGATAAATACAAAGAAAAACACACCTAGCATGTCACATTCAAACTTCTAACAATTAAATATGAGGGAAAATAAATTGAAAGCAGCCAGAGTTCAATAAATTGAACTCATTTGAGGCAGACACAAATGATGGCTGATTTTTCATCAGACTATTAGGATCAGGTGACATTGGAATGATATGTTTTAAGTGTAAAATGAAATGTTTTTACTTGAAAAAGTAAAACTGGCAAATCTGTCCAACTCTTAAATGTATTTATAAAAATATACAAGTCTGTGAAACCCACTGACCAATGGTTAGCATTGCTCTACATCAACAGTTGAAGAGATGAAATTCATAAAGGTTAAGTGACTTGTCCCGGGTAACAGAAGAATTGTCAGAGTCTGTCTCCTGATTGCCAATCCACTACTGTTTACAGATAGATAAACCTGGATCCAAATTAAGATTTCATATTAAATTGGCTTTTTTACAAGAACAAACTCTAACCTTGCAACTGTCCTTCCTTCTGTGAATATCACCAGCACAAATCATGTCTTCCTTGATGACTGGCTTACTTATGGCAATAAAAAACCAATTGGGTTGTAGAGTTTTTCATAAGCCTGGCAGTCAATGACTGGTATTTCTGCTTCCTGGAGTGTGGAAGGGTAATCAGTATCTGTAGAGATAGACAGGAATGAAAGAAAAAGCCATCTGGAAAGGTTTAGGGGCAACATTCAGTCATGTGCAGAAATTTCTGGATGGGAATTCCCAAAGCAGAATTCAATCACTTTCTAATCGTAATTGCTAATGGAAAAATTTTTTTGGTGCCATTAATCTAAAAAAATGGATAAGTCAAAACTAGTTCTATTTGAGGTGTTTTTTTTAATGGGTCAGTGTGGGGTATTCTAATGTTCTAAATAAAGAGAAATTATGATACATTTTGATTAAGTAATAACATGTTTTAAATATTCTAAAACTTCTTCCTTTCCCATTCTTCTGTTCCCAGGTCATTTTTCTGTCTTGTCTTTACTCCATTCCTGGGAAAGAGTTAGCATGGTACTTTAAAAACATAAAACAACACTAGATTCTCTCCATACTTTAAGTCAGGTTTGTTAACCTCTGTTTCAGAAAAGTATTATGTGTTTAAATTGTTAGTATCTGCTCATGCAGATGTAGCTAGACTCTAGGTAGAATATAAGGGTAAATAAAATAAACATATAAATGTGAAAAAAGACATTTTATTTGAAGACATTGATAAAATCAATAGGTTGATCTGGTTTTGTTGAAAAGTATTTGCCATAGTAATAATATGCCTAGAATTGTGAATGTTCTGGAGTGGGTACAGGAGGGTAACATGTAAAACAACTCTTTACTCTAAACCCATTCTCACCTTCACTTTCCTTAACTTTCCCCTCTCCAGTCACCCAGCAAGAGCCTGGAACTGACAACTGCTTTGTGGTACTGGGCAAGCAGATGGGCAGGATGGAAGAAGTGAAGGTGACTCTAGAGACCAGTTTCAGCAAGGCCATGTCTGCAGTTCAACCTCGAGATTTGGGATGGATAGTGATTTGGGCTACATGATGCTTCACACCATTATTTGAATAGCCTTTCCTTGAACTTGATCCCAACCACGCAGTATATAACAAAGGAATCCAGGTTCTAAGGGGAAGAGAAAGAGAATAGTACAAATGGAGCATGCTTATGTGCTGTATCTGGGTCAGAACAAGCACTAAGTCTCTAGGCAAGAAAGGAACGGACTCAGAAGTAACCAGGCTGCTTCTAACTTGAACTAGGGTGGGTTTGTCTCCTTTCTCCTTCCCTTTCACCCTGACTACTCCTTTGTAGTCTGCCGTTTCTATGGTCTTCTTTTGTATTATTTTGACCAGAGTTTTGTCTTGTATTTTCTCCCTGGTTCTCTGACCTCTCATCCATGGTTTCTGCCATCACATATGTATTTAATAGTCTTTTTTTTTATTGCCTGTTTTGATTTCTGAGCCATGAGACCTTTCATTTAATAAAAATTTAAAGCATAGAATAACCACCAAAGTTTATTTATATATATGAAAGTTTACATATATATATATATATATATATTACTTAAAATGTTAAGCTGTGCGGTAAGATATACAAAATAAAGAAAAGAAGTTCTCTCCCCCTGCTGTCCTCAATTTGCACTGTCCTAAGGCAGTTGCTTTCAACTTTAAGCTCTTAGTATTTTATTTTCCCTAGTATTTTCAAGTAACTCTGTGTATTGCTATTAAATCAGTTTTCTTCCCATTTTAGAATACTGTATTTCTACTGTGGAAGGTGAGGATTGAGCCAGCAATCACTGCCAATCCCTACTTCCTTTCACCATCCACCTAACCTAGTATTATAACTTCTTGTTAGGTCAGTATTTGATGTGTGTGTTCTTGTGACTGTGTAAACATTATTCACTGCTGGGCCATATTGAGTACTGTGATTACAAATGTTCTTATAAAATGTTTTGCTTCTCCTGTGGTCTCACTTAGTTTTCTATATACCTGTCACTAATTCAGCATTCATTCCCCAAATTCCCTGACAGAGGTGTAAATCTCTCAATATATTGAAACCAGGCAGGTATTCTATCAATACTGTCTTTTGTTGGAGCCCTCTGCCTTCTTGCTCCAACCTTGGCACTTTTCCTTATAATTTTCTTGGGGATACTCTTTTGGAGAATTCCCTTTTTTTTCTGGATCCCATGCCCCCTCAAGCCCCCCATTTTTGTGAAGCACATTCTCCAACCACTTCCTGAAAAGATGTGCATGAGAGGTAATATTTTTGCTGCTTTGTATATTTGACAATGTCTTATTTCTATCCCACACATTTCAAAGTTTGTATATAGGTAGAAAGTTTCTAGGTTAGAAATAATTTCTTCTTAGCATTTTGAATTTATTTCTGTTTTCTTTAAGCTTTCAGTGTTGTTATTGAAAAGAACTGTTGGATAACAAGTTACCACAAAGCTTAGATGAGGCTTAAAACAACACTTACTTCACTGTCTGTGGGGCAGGAACAGGTTTGACTCAGCCGGCTGCCTTTGAGGGAAGGTCTCTCTCAAGGCTGCAGTCAAGGTGGGCAGCAGCCATCTCATGACTCGACACGGGGAGGGTCTGTTTCCAAACTCGCTTAAGTAGGCAGGCATTCACATCTTCACTAACTGCCGACTAGAGACATCAGTTTTACGTGGGCCTCTGTGCAGGGCTGCTTACCACCTGGCACCTTGCTGCTTTCACAGAGTAGCTCTGAGAGAGCTCAGATGGCGTTTGTGACCTAAGAAAGCTTGAGACAACGTTCCCTGAGAGGTGTTTAGGAAGTGATATGACACAAAGTAAGAAAAATGTCTAATATAGTGCCTATCGGCATCATTTCTTTTTCTTCCTTTATGCCCTGTCCCTGGTCCAGGGTGACCCAGGGTTTCCCTTTGCCTGCACATCTTACCACTTTCATTTATCTGGTGGTTAGTTTGTGAAGTCATTCATATGTTTATGGAGAACATATGTGTGCTAGCCAATAGCTAGAACTCTCTTGTGTACGCACTGTGCCACCATCAAGATCCACCTCTCACTGATAAGGGAACCTCCGCAGACGTGGTTCTGTTTGAAGTGCAGGCTGACCTGCGAAGGCCAGTGCCCTGCTTTGGTCTCCTGGCCGCCCACAACACGGCTCAAGTATACAGGTCGTCTGCACACTAGACAGAGAAGGGCAGGGGTGATGACCATCTTCAAACTTCCCTCTGTTCCTAGGACCAGAGTCCTGCAGACTCCATCCCATTCCAGTTCCAAACCTAGCAGCCTTCAGCCCAAGTGGAGACCACTCACCTGATTGCAGATCTTTATTTTTGGGAAAACAGCATGGGCAAGACCCTAAGACAGACACGTAATATCATTAATATAAAATAACACATCTTATATCTAGACTTATTGAACAGGGGCTTTCCATGCATTTTCATTTCTCAGATTGGTGTTAAAGGCCACATTTTTATAAATGTCCATTAGTGGGAATCTTGGTAATTACATATTTACCTGCTTTCTTCAGCCTACATGGAACATAATTTACCTTTTACTTGGTAGATTGAAGGCTTTCATTAGGAATATCAAGTATTTTAGGCTGAAATACAATGATGTCTTCAGATGCTTTGGAGGGTTATAAACTGTTTACTTTTGTCCTGTTTTCTTTATCTGAAATAGTATTTTACAGTATTTATATATCTTACTTTTTTGCCACCTGTTACCTTTTTGCTCCTTTTAGCCTACCCTGCTTTTAAGTCACTACGGGAGAGAGAAGTAAATGAACAAGCATATGCCTGAAATATTTGAGCAGTGGTTGTGCTGCCCATACCTTCTGCCTGAAATGTTCCTTCCCTAGATCCTCCTCTACCTGGAATGCACCTTTCCTAGATCCTCCTCTGCCTGAAATCCTCCTTCCCTAGATCCTCCTCTGCCTGAAATGCACCTTTTCTAGATCCTCCTCTGCCTGAAATCCTCCCCCCCTACCTCCCTAGATCCTTCTCTGCCTGAAGTCCTCCTTCCCTAGATCCTCTGCCTGAAATGCACCTTTCCTAGATCCTTCTAGCTAAATCATTTACCTCCTTCAAGTCTTTGCCCCAATGACTCCTCCTCCTTAGTGAAACCTTCCTTGACTACCATATTTAAAATTACAACATACTTCCTGCTCCTGTGTCTGGATGCCCCTTTCCTTTCATAGTATTTACTACTTTCTAACATGCTTTATAATTTACAATTTAATATGTGCATTGATCACAAGCCCTACAAGGGCAGGGATCTTTGTTTTGTTTACTGGTATATCCAAGATCTATGAAGTGGTGCCTGTCATATAGTATCCTGTCAGGACTCCTCAGGGCAAACGATTCCTAAATAACATACCATGTGTGAGGTATCACATTATTCTACATGATAATTTCTTGAGCCAAAAAACCTCTGTCTCTCCTCTCCCTACCCCACCCCACCCCATTCCAGGGGCTCACCCAGCAGAAGGGACAGTAGGAAGACAGAGCCAGCAGAGCCCACGTCTCTGTCCTCAGAATCAGCACTTCTTCCTGGACTTAGGCTTCCAGGGAGAGGCCAGCCAGGGAGCAGCTGGGGAAGAGGGGGTAGGACCAGCCTTTCCTCCTAGGCTGAGGATCCTCTGCTTCACCCCACTCCCCTCCTTTGGTTTTTCACCTGGGGTCAGACACTGAAAGGATCAGACTTGAGAAGGGCAGCTGCAGGACCCATGGGAGGTGCCTCCTGCTGCCCTGGAGGGCAGGGTGTCTGGAGCTGAGGTGTGAGGTGCCCCCTGCTGTCCACGAGGGCAGGGTGTCTGGAGCTGGGGTGTGAGGTGCCCCCTGCTGTCCAGAAGGGCAGGGTGTCTGGAGCTGGGGTGTGAGGTACCCCCTGCTGTCCAGGAGGGCAGGGTGTCTGGAGTTCCTGCCTGAATATTGGGGGAGGGCAGGGGAAGGGGTGGGTGCACTAGCTGTCTGCCCAGGGCAGGTTGGAGGACCCTGGAAGGAACAGGACCCTCCCTCTATCAAGAAAATGGAAATGGACAGTGTTCCTCAAAAGCAAGAAATAGACAAGAGGGAGTTAACCCAGAACCTGGTTAATTTTTTGTAAGTTTGTTTTTTATCTTTGTTGTAGTACTACCCATAGAATACACTACAAGTCAGATTTTCTGGAAAATGGACCCTAAGACAGATTTGTGTGCAGGTTAATTGGGAGTGGTCTCAGGATCAGTCCCTCAAGGTGTGATGGAAGCAAGAGTGGGCAGAGGGAGAATTCAACTATACTGCGTTTGTAACAGGCCACAGCCAATCCCTTAGTTGCTCAGGAGCTGGGGTGGCCCTTCAGAGATGTCCTGAAGTGAGTGGGAGGGCTGGGCTTTAGGACTTCAGCATGACTGGATGCAGGCTGCCTCCAAGGAATGGGCATTACCTTGGATGAGGTGGCTGTTGGCAGTTTTTGAATAGGGCTTAGCTGTGAACTTCTGCAGCCAGCATTTGGGGCACTAGGAGAATGAATTCCTCAGTCCTGAGAGGGGATCTTGCTGGCACAGCATGGCATCTGCTGCATAATTCTTCTCTGCGCCCTTTATGTTTTCTGTACCAATTGTTTGTAGGGTTCTAGGTCTGTGGAGGCAGAATTCAGTGAATGGTTGGGCATGTTATTACTCTCTGATAGCTTAAAATATAGAGAGGTTTGAAGAAAACACATGAATAATAGAAAAATGATAGAAGACCAGAAAATGTAGTTTAGTCAGGTTTATTCAGTTACAGCCCACAGAGGTTCACTTAAATTAATTTGAACAAAGGGGATTAGTTAAAAAATATTGTAATGGGCTAAAACACATCACCCCAAAAACTCATACATTGAAGGCCTAGCCCCCGTGTTTGGAGATAGTGTCTCTAAAGAGATAATTAAGGTAAAATGAGGTCATTAGAGTGGACCTTAATCCAGTATAACCCATGTCCTTATAAAAAGAGGAAAATTTGGACATAGACAAATACAGAGCAAGAAGACAACTATCTACAAGCCGAAGAAGCCCGGAATAGATCCTTCCCCACGTGCTGCAGAAGGAGTCAGCCCTGCTGACACCTAATCTCCAACTTCTCACCTCTAGAACTGTGAGAAAATAAATTCTTATTGTTTAAGCTACCCCATCCATGGTGCTTTGTTACAATAGCCCTAGCGAATGAATACAGGTATCTGTGGAACAATAAGGAGAACAGAGTAAGAAGGACATCTGGAGCTATCCTAGAATAGACCTGAGACCAGCGTGTGAGACCAGAGCTGGAAGGGAGCTCAGAGCAGGAGGGCGGGATCTTCACATAGGTCCCCTGCCATTAGTATGGCTCAACCACAAACCGTGTCTTTTCTTTCTCTCCCACCATCAACTGCCCAAGTCTTTCCTTATCTTCAGTTCAAATTCCCAAGAATGTGAACAGTCTCTTTTTTTTTTTTTTTACCAGGATATAGGTTGATGGCTATGGAGTCAATGTCTTTGGAGTAAGTGTTCTTATGCATGAAGATGAAGATGCAGAAATGTGGCCTGCTGGGCAGCAGGGCAAATGCCAGATTTGCTGTATGTTAGTACAAGTCAGATGTTTACCTCTTAATATATTTTTTATGATTTCAGAAGTAAACACTTAAAAAAATTAATTCTCCATTTTCTGTTTACTGACTGTCACAATTATGAATTTTTACCTAATTTCTGTTTCTCAGATCAAGTTGTCTTCATTTGTCTGCTTGACAGAGATAAAAATCTACTATTTGTACATTTATGTTAGTTCCTACATACATTTTTAATGGTTCTTGTTTTGTGCATCTTTTTGTGTGTATACACTTGTTTTGGTTATGTGTCTATCATTCACTGTGCTTTTTATAATTATATAATGACCATCTTAGTATTTTTTAACTTTTTCCTGAAATTAATGTTCAACCTGTCATTTTATCCTGCTCACCTAATTGAAGAAAAAGATTTCTTATTTATATTACAAACGTGTGGGGTATTCCAATTAATTTATGGTATTCACAGGCAATTTTAGCTATTTTGTCAACTCACTTAAGTACAGTTTTTAAAAAAGTCAGACCTCAGCTTGAGATTTGCCTTCAAGTCATGTCTGAAGTACAGGTAGTCATTTTGCAAAGACACCAAAGCTCTGGACAAGTCTTTCTGCTGATTTAGTAAAGGAGCAAAAATTTGACTAGACATTCCTTTTCCTCTGACGATCTTGTGGTTGTCCTAGATCTTTGGACTTTTATATCCCTGGATAGATCTGAAGTCACTAATTAATACTCTACATATTAGTTGGACTGCTCACAGAATCTCTCTTATGTTTAAATGTTTTAGAAATTATTTTAATTGAGAGGTATTATGATTAGTACACATGGTGTGGGGGGGATCATGGGGAAGACAGTGTAGCACAGAGAAGACAAGTAGTGACTGTGGTGTCTTACTTCACTGATGGACAGTGACTGCAATGGGGTATGGGAGGGACTCGATAATATGGGTGGATATAATAACCACATTGTTTTTCATGTGAAACCTTCATAAGAGTGTATATCAATAATACCTTAATAAAAATAAATTAATAAAAAATTATTTTTAGTTACAGCTTAGTTGGAAATAAGCTTTATTGGAAGTAACTAAGACACTAGTTCCTTACTTTGAAAATTGGAAATGAAAGAATTAAATAGTTATTTTGCTTTTCCTGTTCAAACTGTAGTTAAGAGTAATGAAATGGACTTATTTGATGAGGGAAGAATTCTGGCTAAAAAATGTAGTTGGACTGAATTTGAAAACCATCACTTGGAGGCCCTCCTGAGATAATTGATTCAGGGATGATTATCAATAGTTGAAAGGCTGATATAGTGCTGGTTGGGCTGTTACCATTTGAACCCTCCTCCGATCAATCTTAGCTTCATTAAATATGAATAATAGAATAATGCAGACATATGCTTTCTGATAATGACATTGTATGAGGCAATGTCCAATGAAGTAGTGTTAAGAACAAGTGAAAGGTGAATCTCTGAAGCTACTGGGGCTAAAGGAATAAGTTAAATTGCAGCACAGGAAAGTTAACAGTTAAATCCAGAATATGGCACATTTTATAAAACAGCTAATGGGGTTTCTATAGTAAGTCATGGTGTTAGGGGTAAAAAGGGAGGGAAACTTAAGAGATGTAAGTGTGTGTGGTCTTGTTTGGATCCTGATTTAACAAATCATCTCTAAACATACATTTGCTATAATCAAGGATATTTGCTAATGAATTAGATATTAGATGGTATGAAGGAATTATTGTTAAATCTTGACAGGTGGGATACTAGCATTGAATCATGTAAGAAAATATCCCGTTCCTTTCATTTTTTTCTGTTTCTTTGCTGTTGTTATTTTTACTGAGGTGTAATTATAATATTTTATTGATGTACAATATTAGTTTCAGGTGTATGACCTAGCAATTCAACATTTATATACATTGTGAAATGGTCACTACAGTAAGTCTAGTTACCATACAAAGTTAACACAATATTATTAACTATAATCCTCATGATGTACATTATATCCCCATGACTTATTTATTTTACAACTGGAAATTTGTACTCCTTAATTCTCTTCACTAATTTTGCCCCTCCTCCCTCAAACCCATTCCCCTCTGGCGACCACCAGTCTGTTCTATGTATCTATGAGTTTGGGTTTTGTTTTGTTTGTTTGTTTTGTTTTTTAGATTACACATAGAAGTGAATTATTGCCTTATTTCTCTTTCTCTGTTTGACCTATTTCATTTAGCCTCATAACCTCAGGGTCCATCTGTGTTGTCCCAAATGGCAAGCTACATCTACGGCCATACCACCCTGAACGCGCCCAATCTCGTCTGATCTCAGAAGCTAAGCAGGGTCGGGCCTGGTTAGTACTTGGATGGAGACCAAATGGCAAGCTATCATTCTCTCTTAGGGCTGAGTTGTATTCCATTGTATATATGTACCACATCTTTATGTGTTCATCTATCAGTGGACACTTAGGTTGCTTCCACATCTTGGCTATTGTAAATAATGCTACGATTAGATGGCAGTACATATATCTCTTTGAATTAGTGTTTTCATTTTTTCATATAGGTAGCCAGTAGTAGAGTTGCTAGATAATATGGTGGCTTTGTTGTTCTTTCTCAAGATTGTTTTGGTTATTGCTTGGTGGGTCCATACAAATATCAGAGTTATTTGTTCTAGGTCTGTGAGACATGGCATTGGAATTTTAATAAGAATTTCATTGAGTCTGTAGATTGCTTTGGGGCAATGGGAAAATTCTGACAATTTTAATTCTTTCAGTCCATGAGTACAGAATGCCATTTATTTGTGTCTTCAATATCTTTCATTGGTGTCTTATAGTTCTTAGTATACACGTCTTTCACTTACCTGGTTGTATTTATTTTTGATGCAGTTGTAAATGGGACTGTTTTCTTGATTTCTCTTTCTGATAGTTCATTATTAGTATACAGAAATGCAACAGATTTTTTGTGTATTAATTTTGTGTCCTGCAGCTTTACTGAATTCAATTATTCTAACAGTTATTTTAGAGGAATCTTCAGGATTCAATATATGTAGCATCATGTCATCTGGAAATAGTGACAATTTTACTTCTTCCTTTCTAACTCATATGCTTTCTTTTTCTTGCCTAAGTGCTGTGGCCAAGACTTCCAATACTATGTTGAATGAAAGCGGCAAGAGTAGACATCCTTGTCTTATTCCTGATCTTAGAAAACTTTCAGCTTTTTATCTTTGAATATGATGTTAGCTGTGGGTTGGTCATGCAACCTTTATAATGTTAAGATATGTTTCCTCTGTGCCCATTTTGTTGAGAGTTTGTATCACATTTGGATGTTGAATTTTGTCAAATGCTTTTTCTGCATCTATTGAGATGATCATATGATTTTTATCTTTAATTTTGTTAATGGGGCATATGACATTGATTACTTTGTGGATATTAAACCATCTGTGCATCTCTGGAATAAATCCTGCTTGATCATGGTGTATGATCCTTTTAATGTATTGGTGAATTTGATTTGCTAATATTTTGTTGAAGATTTTTGCATCTATGCTGATCAGGGATATTGGACTGTAATTTTCCTTTTTTTGTGGTGTTGTCTTCTGGTTTTGGTGTCAAGAGTAATGATGGTCCTGTAAAATGGATTTGGAAGTTTTCCTGCCTCTTTAATTTTTTAGAAGAGTTTGAGAATGATAGATATTAAATCTTTGAATGTTTTATAGAATTCACCAGTGAAGCCATCTGGTCTTGGGATTTTTTGCAGGGGAGGTTTTGATTGCTGATTCAGTCTCCTTAGTAGTAATCAGTCTATTCAGATTTTCTATTTCTTAATGATTCATTTTGGAAGATTGTAAATTTAATAATTTATCCATTTCTTCTAGGTTGTCCAGTTTGTTGGTATATAATTGTACATTGTAGCCTCTTAATGATCATTTGTATATCTTTTTCTTGCCTAAGTGCTGTCATGAAGACTTTCAATACTGTGTTGAATGAAAGTGGCAAGAGTAGACATCCTTGTTTTGAACCTTCTAATGTGTTTTTCTGTTCAATAATTGTAGTCTTCAGCTCTATGACTTCCATTTAGTACACTCTTATGTTTTCTATCTCTTTGTTGACATTCTCACAACCAGAAGAAGATAGTTTCTTCTTCTCCTGAGTTTAGTGGGCATCTTTAAGACCATTACATTGAGTTCTTTATTAGGTGGCTTGCTTATGTCGGTATCATTAAGACTTTTTTTGAGGTTTTGTCTTGTTCTTCATTTGGAATACATTTGTTTCCTCATTTTTGCTCAACTGTCTCTGTTTATTTCTACATATTAGGAAAAACAGCTACTGCTCTCAATCTTGAGTGGCTTTGTGTAGGTGATGATCCTACTCATTTGACTTTGTCCTAGTTCTTCATTGTCTATTGAACCTTTGTGATTGTCTAAGCTGTCTCAGTTATTTTTGGTTTGATCATGTTATTGAGGGTTTACCAAAACCTGTCAGTGATCCAAGGGGAGAAATCTAATTTAGCACCTAGTTTTAGGCTGACTGGAAGCCGGACCCTCAAGCCACAGCTTTTGAAATATGCATATATACACAGTCCTATGGGGCAGTAATTGCAATCTCTGCTGGTTTGCAGACCAGGAGATCTGGAGGTGTCTCCTAGGTGACAGTTGCAAAATAGGACCTCCAGATGAAAGTATGAACTCCATCTGGGAAGTTTCATCAAGTTATAGTGAGGCCAAAGAGGTGTGGAAGCATGGTTTTCTCCCTGCTTATGTTCTCTGGGAGCATCTCCCTAGTTTCTAGGTATGAGGGGAACTGGAAGCCTGTCCCTCAGGCTTGCTCCAGGCCTTTTTCACAGGATGACTGGAGTTGTGTTTCATTCAGCTATCTGTGCAGTGCCCTGTGGCGGGGGATAGGGGGCGCTGCCAAGAACTGTCTTTCTGATTCTAACAGTCCCACAAACCTCTGAAACAGCAGACCTCTTGGTTGCCAGGACTAGGCTGTTGAGGTGTGTCCCCTGTATGGATTACTCCTGGCTTTAGCAGTGCAAGTGGAGAATGTAGCGGGGGGGAATGCTCACTGGCTTCAGAAAAGCAACAGGAAAATGTCTTGGCCATGTGACTTGCCAGCTTCTGCAGTGTAGCAGGAGTGCCTTGCTTTTGTGTTGTGCCCACAGCAGCTTTAGGCTGAGAGTGGGAGAGTTTCCTGATCACAAGTGGTCACGGCATTCATCTGCTGGCCAGCCTCAGCCATGCAGCAGGGAGTGGGGCAGCTGCTTGCACTCACACGCTGTCTGTGTTTCTCCCTGCAGCCAGGGACTGGGAAGAGTGTTGCAACTGCCTGTACTCCCTGGCCTCAGCAAGTGTCTGGCTGCTCGCCCCTGCCCCATCCCAGCAGCATGGGGGAGGGTGGCGCATCTGAGCTCAGCTGCCTGTGCTAGCAGGATATGTGGGGAGTGTGACAGTGACATCCACCTGCTCCTCTGTCTTTGGGGGAGCATCTCAACTGTTCCACCACTACAGCTGATGTCCTCAGATCAGAAAATGAATCTCCCTCATATATAGTCTAGGTGCTTTTCAAACTGCTCTTTTTTCATTGGGTCTCTAGGCAAGTGAGACTGCACATGAGCCCTCCAAAAGGGAAATCTGAGTTTTCTGTAGCACTTTGGGACTCCTGGACATCTGCCCCGTTGGCTTCCCAAGCCAAGATGTTCTGGGGGCTTGTCTCTCCAGCGCAGATTCTAGGGGCTGGGACACCTAATGTGGGCCACCAAACCCTTACTCCTTTGGGAGATGTACCTGTCTCGTGAGATCCCTCCCTACTGTGTGTTGCATGCAAGGGGTAGGATTTGAGATTGTGTCTCTGCCTCTCCTACCGTCTTGATGCATTCCTTTTATCCTTTGTTGTGGGGAGAGCAGTTCTTCTAGTTTTCAGATCTTTTTCAGAGTGAAGTGATCCATTTGTAGCTGTAGATTTGGTGGGTCTGTGGGAGGAGATGAATTCAAGATCTTCCTATGCCCCTATCTCAGATGCCCTGCAGGAAATGTCCATGTTCAAAGAGATAGTTGGAACCTGTGCATTCTTTCTGAATCTAATCCAAACTCTCTTTTATCATTTTGGAGAAACCTCCTCTGGTTTTCAGCCCATAGTGTGCTATTCTCTTGTCTTCATGAAGATGGCTAAATGACCATCCTCATGAAAGTCACCTTTCTTCCATGGCCTGTGTTTTCCTACTCTATGTGAAGGCATTGGAATCAGTTGATGATCTCAGAGATTCTTAACATTGAATTATACATTGCTAATTTATCTATTTATTTTTATGTGTTGCCTCCATTATCTCTCTACAGCTATTTTCTTATTTTTAGTTTAGCAATCAGGAAATATGCTGGTCTGCCACTTTACTGCTCCCTTACTTCTTCTAAGATGAAGAATTGCCAAGGAGCTGGAAGCAAGAGAATAGGTGCTGAACGACCAGTGCAGACACTTTCCTCGAGACAGCTTTCTCAGCTTTCTGACTGTCTCATCATACTCTGTCTCAGAGTCTCTGTTCCCAGTCATTACCCTGTTATCATTAAAGTCACCTTTAAATATTTGTGCTGTACATAATAAATGCTTGTTTGTGAAGTGGCGATAAGTGGTGGTGTTAAGAGCTTTATTACTTGCCATGTGGCTGTGGCCAAGTTACAACTTCAAACTTTGCAAAATGGGAATAATAATACTTCACCAGGTTTTTGTAAGAATTAAAGGAAATAAAGGCAAGTACTTAGCTTTGGTTTGGCCTATTTAAGCATGCAGTAATAGTAGCTACTGTTCTTATTGTTGTTGATCTAATATCCCTATTTTAAGTATTAACTTAGTTCTGGGCAAACAGGTCATCTTGGTGATGGCTTAGATGGATGTTGATGGTGCCTGTAGACTGGATGTCTCAGCCTTGGTGCTACTGACATTTTGGGCCAGGTTATTCTTTGTTGTGGGGGGCTGTCCTGTGCAGTGTAGGATGCTAAGCTGCATCTCTGACCTTACCTACTGGATGGCAGGACTACCACTCACCCCCAGTCACGACCACTGGAATGGTCTCTGGATGTCCTCTGGGTGAAGAATCACCCTCAGTTGAGAACCACTGCCGTAGAGCAAGGATGCCACTTCAGGGGTGCAATCTTCTCTTGAGCATTCTGAGAATAAAGTAGATTTGCAAGTTTTGTAGCTTTTTGTCTGTATTTCCAGGTAGAACAAATGGATTCCATTGTCTTATCTAATTAATTGGAAAATGGATAAATCCCATTATACAAAAGTCCTTAAAGAATAATTGATTATTCTAGCACATATTTAGCAGGCCCTGGCTTTTGCCTTTTCCATTACCTTACAGCAGTAGACACGTAGGCCCTCTATTAAAAGATTTGGTCTGCTCTTAGTTCTTGAACTTCAACAAGGAATAGTTATAGTCCAGCTTTAGCCCATTAACCAGTATGTCCTAGACTAATCCATATACTTGGCATCCATTATGTCAGGGCCAAGCCCTGGACAACGTTTTCGAGCCAGCCTTTTTCCTCTTCCCAGCTCTTGGCCTTATTGGCCCGTGTACCGTTTCCTTCACATGGGCTCATTTTCTCCATGGGGCTGACCCTTCTCTGAGCTCCATCTTACTTGCCTGGGGCCCTACTGCCCTTTAACCAGTTTCCCTCTGCAGGCATTGGTCTTGTTCTTTTCATCATTAGAAGAAAAAACATTTTCCTTTTTCTATTCATTGGTACTCATACCAGAGGAATTCTTCCTTATAGTTTTGACAGCTGGCTTTCTATATCCTATAGCTCCCATCTTGTTATTCAGAAAATCACTATGTTAGTTGCCGATAGAGGGTCAAGAAATTGAATAGGACAGTTTGTCTTCTCAAGGCTGTTCTTATCTATTCAGAAGTAAAGCTGTGTACACCCAAATAATTACAAATGAAGACTAGGAGTGTAATAAAAGGTACAAGTAACCATTGTACAAATAACCATTTAGAACTAAAAGGCAGTGTTACTTTGTATTGTATAAGGAAGAATAGTGCTTTCTAACTGAATGGAAGTGATTTGGTTTCGTGGGAAGAGCCAAATCTTTTGAGTTAGGCAATCCTGTATAAATCTGTGTAATTGAATATTAGCTGTGTGATCGTAGGCAGGTTGTTACTTAACCTTTCTAAGCCTAAGTTGTTTTGTGTGTGTATGTGTTTTCATTTGTAAAAGTGCCATAAATAATGTCTTTTTGAGTTGCTAAGATAACAGAGATAATATTTAAAGTGGCCAGCACAGTAACCAATATAGAGTAGGCATAAAGTAAACAGAAATTCTTGCTATAATTAGAGGCAAGTTAAAGATGTTGTGTCACCCAGAGAATCCACACAGACAGGTCTTTCATAGGTAATGTGACTTGGCTGAAGTCGTCTCAGTCTAGGCTGTGGGCCCTTAGCTTTTTAGCTTCTGAAATACAGGGCTGATCAGAGCACCCAGGATAGATCAAATTCAAGAGATTAACTCACTGAATTTTAAGAGATTCATGTATGAACCAGAATGTTTATTTGCAGTGAGAGCTATTCATTTCCATTATTTGGAATTTTTAAATTTTTGAACAAGAGTACATCTTGATATAGGTAGGGAAACCAAATTAGTAAGTGGGTGGGGGTTTGAAGAGGCTTTGGATGAGAACAAGTGCAAGTGGTTGATCTCCATGAGCATTTTGCTTTCTTGGATGAAATATCTTTACAAAAACTGGGAGAACACTTGTCCATAACAGAACATGTTTTTTTAAACAAGTGTGAAGTTTATAGTCATCAGACTGGGTGTCTTCTCCCTTAGCAGTCGAGGGTCTGATAAACACATGTAGTTATCTGGCTTTTGCCTTCCGTAGACTCCATGCTGACCATTCCTCTTTCTAATAACTGTTTTTCTTCAATCAGCGCTTAATAGCATTGATTAGATTTAAGCTTTCTCGAATATGATCTCATTCTTGGTATGTTACTTTGAGAGTATAATACCCAAATCTCCAAGTTTAGCTTATTCCTAAGATATGTAATGCATGCATTTACTGAAATTTTTTTAGTTCTTTCTACAGATAACTGTCTCATTCCCTCTCATCCATTATGTGTATATTTGGCTTGTTAAGTTTCAGTTGTAGAGGATTCTAGTGGACAAGGGGTGGGACGCTGCTATGTAGTGAAAATAGTTCCTATTCCCTGATTCCCACCAGTTCGTTATCTATTGGTGCTGAATTAAGAATTGTAAGGCTTATCTGTTATGTATTAAACAAGGCAATTTATGCCTTGTGTTGAGAGTTGTATCAGATAACATGTAAGGTGCCTTCCAACTATTTTATGATTCTAAAACCTGCTTTTATCTTGTTTGTCTCTCTTGGCTCTAAAATCTAGATCCATCATCTTTTCTCACATTTTTTATCTTTTGTACTTTTTGAGAATCCCATGTTAAGTGAATTTATCTTTTCTTTTGCTGAAATGTTTTCCACAGTGTCAGTTATGACTTTCTTGCAATTCTGTAGTGTTGTCTTCTAAAAAAAATCCTGAGGTCTTATTAAATGAACAGTGTCCCTTTGAGAATAAATTGTAACCATTCTTTGAATCCTTCTTATATTTTGTGGAATTTTTGCATTTGGGGAATTAATTTTTTTCAAAGTTCTTAATATTTTCTTCATGTGTATGGAAAGCTTTTTAGTAGCCCACACTTAATTCACTTATTTTATGTAATTGTATCTTTGCAGTTATTAATCAAAAATTTCACTTTCAAACAATGATTTTATTGGTATTCAATGAATTTTGGGCAAAAGATGTTTACTTTGTTGTTCACTGTCTTGCTAAAACTCCTTCCAATTATTTGTTAAGTAATACAGAGTATCCTGTTATTATTTTAATCAGTATCTTATGAAATCCATAAATTAACTCAGCATTGGCCAGTGTGAGATCCTATGTTCTTAACCACTCTTTGTATACCAGAGGCCCAGGAAAAGGATAAGAGATAAAGCAGCATACATTTCTTATACGAGATACATTCTTAGACTACTCTCTGGGCACAGGATTTTGTGAGTTGGAAATCTAATAAACAGCTCCCTTTTATGCCTCCTTTTCCGCTCCACCTAAGTGCAACCATGAGGTGCTTTCAGTGGATGGGGTCAATGGGAGACTCAGAAGACAGTCTCCCCTGAATGCCTCTGTTTAAACTGCCCCCACACCACTCAGTACAGTCAGTCCTAGCCTCCCAGCTTCTTAGTCCAGACCCTCCCTTACTCTGCCTCCTTTAAGGCAGCCTGTAAGATGGCCCAAATGATCCTTGCCTCCTGACGTTTGTAGCTTGTTGACTCACTTCTGAAGAACAGAGTACAACAGAAGTAATGAGATGTGAGTTTTGAGATTAGGTTATAAAAAGGCTGTGGCTTCTGTCTTGGGTGCTCTCCCTTTATCGTGGCTCACTCACTCCGGGGAAAGCCAGCTGCCATGAGGCAGCCCTGCAGAGAGGCGTACGTGAGTGAGCTTAGAGCTGGGTTCTCTGAGGCCTACCATGCACATATGAATGAGCGTGGAGGCAGATCCTTTTCTAGTTGAGCTTTAAGGTGACTGCAGCTGTGGCTGACAGAGCAGGCTCCTGAAGGACCCTGAGCCTGAGCTAACTAGTTAAGCCCTCCTAGTTACTGACCCACTGAAACTGTGAGGTAATAAGTGTTTGTTGTTTTCAGCTGTTAAGTTTTGGGGTAATTTGTCACACAGTGATAGATAACAAACACACCTCCCCAGGCTCCTTTTGCCTCTTGGTTGGGCCAGGAAATTTCCAGATTCTTTTTAGCCCTAAAGTTCTGTGCATTTGGATTTTCCCCAGGCCCTGTTTCCAGTTTTGTCAAAAGAACAAATATGAGAAATAATAGAATCAATCAAACTTCATTACTCCTGGAGAACTTGCTTTCCAGGTTGACTTGGGGGGAAAAACACAACCAGCAAATTAAGGCTTATGGGGCCTGTGCTGGGAGGAAGCAGAAGTGCATCTCTATCTTGCTGAATCTTTGAAATCTCTTCAGAATCCTCAACTTGTAGAATTTCCCCTTTCTCCCTTACTCTAAACTGCCTTTTTAACATGGGCATACTGACCTCAACCAGGTAGGGTAGCCCCAGAAAAATGAGAGGCATAACCATAACAGGGAGGAGCCTAGAGAAGCTAGACAGGGGACAGCAGGAAAGACAGTATGTGAGATGGCTGACTTCTCAATCCAAGGTTTGTAGAAACTGATATTTGTATATACTCCAGGCTCTTTGCTTTGGATGCAGTTTGATCCCCAGCTCACCAGTCTGCCAGGACCCAGAAATCCTCCCCTTTACACACCAGGGTATCTCCTCTGCTGCTCTTGGGGAGAGAGGAAAGATGGCTAGGTCATACATAGGGCAGAGGGAGAGGCTCTCCAATAGTTCAGCCAAAACTGTAAAGTTAGGGAGTTCAGGCACTCCTGGGTTCACCCAGGGGCTCTAAAGGTACAAGATGTGGAGGCAGCATATTGGGGAAGGGAAGGGCCCTGAAATGTACTTATAGGATGGATTCTTACTGTACACTGATGTGTCGGCCCCACTGGGAGCTTGGAGCAGATCTTGGCTTCACTGATGATGGGCGTGACTCCATGCACCAGGCTTTCTTTCTGATGGTAGTCATTGCATGTCTGGAGATGAGTGAGAGGTACTTTTAGTTCCTTCAGTGTGTAAGGTGGCTTCCTATCTGTGAAGACAAAAAGAAAGTTGTCCTAAAAAAACTATGAAACAGCTTTCAGCTATGGGTACAGATGTCATGCCTCTGATTATCATAGCCCTATCCTTTTCACTTTTAAGGTCTTAGAATAACTACTAAAGAAGTGCAAAAGCAGACATAAATAGGTGCATATGTCACAACAGAAGAAAATAACGAAGGAGGCAAAGGGAAGGTACAGGGTCAAGGAGGATTTGAAGTCTTCAGTACCTCAGACTAATTACTTGGAGAGTATAATGTATGGTGGAGTAGAGAGCAGGGGGTGAGAATGTCAGTTGAGGAAATAGAGCTCAGAAAATCTACTTATCCTCACATTGGTATTTCCCAGAATAGCCCCATCCAGTCACCCAGCAGGATGTTGAGTTTTGCAGCTGAAGTGCAGATGAGGGGGGGCAGATGGGCAGGACAACAGGGCCGAAGGGACTGGGTAAGACAGTTGGGCCACAGTGATGGTACCAGATGTGTCCCTGTGGAAGTCAGGGTAGGGAATAGTCCTCGACAGGGGTATTATCGTCGTTTTGGAGTCTGGGTGACCAAAGACCTGAAGTGACCAGTACGTTGTGTTTTCTGGCGTCTTTAGACCTGAGAAGATGAGAAACAGAACAGATGCCATGGGTTTCTTACGACTGTTACAGAGTGTCTTAGCAGAGCTGGTAGTTCTGAAGGTTGCATTTTTCCCCTAGCTCTTCCTGAGTATTTGTTCCTCCAATAAGTGTGGAGCATTTCCTGAGGATGTAAGTGAGATGTAGACATAATCTGGCCTTATAGGGCTTTGGGTCTTAAGGACTGTGTATGTGTGAGAGACCAAGAGAAGGGGTGTGGGTTGGGGGAGGAAGACAAGCAGCAAAGAAGTAAACAGTACAAAATTTTAAGTTGTGATGAGTGTTGTAAAGGAAACAGGATATGGAGTTAGAGAGTAAAGGATGGGGGAAGGGACTTCAGATGAGGGGATCAGAGAAGGTCTGGTTGAGCTCTCAACTTTTCAGCTGAGTCCCTGGTGGGAGGGAGTCAGTCATGAGAACTATAAAGAACACATTCTAGACCGAGGGAATAGAGTGTGAAAAAGCCTTGAGGGTGAGAAAGAGCTTGGCGGTTCCTAGGAATTGAAATAAACCTGGAGTAGAAATGGGATGAGGTTGGAAAAATGAGCAATCTGGCAATTCATGGCTTGTGAGCATCAGTGAGGCATCTGGGTTTTATTTTTGATGCTTGGGCAGCCACTGGAGGATTTGAAGAAGAAGGTGATGTGATCTCACCTCTGACTTATAAAAAAATGATTTTGTTGTGTGTGTGAAGGTAGCAAATCCTATTATCCTTCTGCAGTGGTCCGGGGAAGGCTATACTAGAGTCAAAGTATATTTTGGAAATAAAACTCACAGAATTGGTATATACAGTCAATGTGGAGGGTGAGGGAAAGCAAGGCTTTGTATTTCTGGCTTGAGCAACTGGTTGTATTGAGTGAGATAGAGAAAACAGAGAAATAGATTTTGGGGTATCAGTGATGGTAAAAATCGTAGTTCTCTTTTGATCACATTACCTTTGAGGTACCAGTAAGATATCCAACTGGAAACGCATCAGAACTAGAGGTGAGCACTAGTGATGTAAACGTGGGTGTTAATCAGAAAATATAAGACATTTTAAACCATGGGAATGGATGAGGTCACCTAGGGAGAGTGAAAAAGGCTCAGAACTGGGCATGCAGAGCCCTATGAAGATGTAAGTGTGCTGGTAAGGGAGGAGCCCTCTCTGGGGGCTGTCTCCTTGGGTAGAGACTTAGATGCCAGAAGTGGGTAGGGGGCTAAACTTCTTTAAGGCACTTGTTTCAATCAAGGTTGTTGAATAGGAAGAAGCCTGAAATCTAAGAGTACTTACACTGCACTGAGAGCCAGGGCAGGAAAACATTGGGACCCACTTCCAAGGCATTGTGTGCTGTGCTGCCTCAGGCAGTGCAAGATAAACTCCTCTCTGACCTTGGCCCAGGAGTTTCAGTCACCCGAGTCCCCGAAGGGTCTGCCTGACGCAAGGCCAGCCTTTGCTGGAAGCAGCTCGCCACCGTCAGTACCCGCTGTTCTGAGATGACGGTGGCCACACCGATGTGGAACGATCCCTGGTGGATGCTGACCTGCCCAGACCGCTGCCCCATGTTGGCCTCCCTGCCAGAGGCAGTGCCAGATGAGGCTGCAGGCTGCCCACTGCTGACGACGCGAAAGGTGTGGGAAACCTGCTCCTGCAGTCTGCGCCCCAGCCCCCTCCGTCCCTGTTCATTTCCCACACTTGGTCCTCAATCCTCCTTGGCACGGATTCCCTTCCCATGGCCCATCGGGCATGCCGCCCCAGGCTGGGCCACCTTACTTGTTTTCAAGAGATTCTCTGATTCCTCCTCATCTGTGCCTGGGGAGAGAAAAGGGGGAATGTGGGAGACACCCGTGGTGGATGGATTCTTGTTGCCACAGGGGGCCCACACCCCATGCCCTGTGCAGCCTCTCCTGGGGTGGAGCCTTCACCCCACCTAGGACTCTCCTCATGCCAGGGACTCACCTGAGGCCCCACCACAGTGGGCAGACAGCAGGAGGACACAGCGGAGCCCACGTCTTTGTCCTCAGAATCAGCACTTAGTGCTTGCTGGGCTCGGCTCCCAGGGAGAGGCTAGCTGGGGGAAGAGGGGTGGCCAGCTTTTCCTCCTCGGCTCATTTGTCCGCTTCACCCCCCTACTCTCTGGCTTTCACCTGGGGCCAGGCACTGAAGGGACCAGACTTGAGAGGTGCAACTGAAGGCCCTGGGGGAGGCGCTGGGGCCTGAGGCACCCCCTGCAGTGCAGTAGGACAGGGTGTCTGGAGGCTCTGCCTGAGGGTTGGGGGAGGGGTGGAGGACAGGCAAACTGGGTGTGAGCGCTGGAAGGAGCAGGGCTCGCTCACCGCCCAGTGACCCTGGTCTGGGAGACCTCCCTCTGCCACATCTCAGCGACCTACCCTGGGTGCTCCCATCTCACTCCTGACCAAGAGTGAGCCAGCCTGGGAGCAGTGTTACCCCAGGTCCTTGGTCTCTAGAATGGTTGCAGGGCTGAGAAGAGAAGATGAAAAGGAGGGAATAAACCAATCAGCTGGCCAATATTTTTGGCTTCCTTTTCTCCTTTTTTTGCTTCAATCTCTATGTCTTTTAATTGGATCTTTGCCTTCCCAAGTCAACCAATACTGGGTCTTCGTTGTGTATAAGGTATTGTGAAAAATGAGGAGCAGGATCTGTAAAGAAGCATGAGTCTTTTCATCTGACTTAAGGTTTTAAATGGATCACACTGGCTACTAGGTTGAGAATGGTTAAGGGTGGAAGCAGGGAAACCAGTCAGATTTGAAATAACTTGGGCAGGAGGTGATGGTGGCTTTGGACTAGGGTTGTAGAGGCAGAAGTGGTAAAAAGTGGCAGATTTTGGTTGCAAGGTAGAGCCACTGGGACTTGTTGATGTTTGGATGTGGGCATGAGAAAAAGAGAGGAGTCAGTAATGACTCCAGGGTTTTTGGTCTGAGCCATTGGAAGTACGGAATTATCATTTACTGAGACGGGACAAACTGTAGGAGGAACAAGTTTTGGGGGCTAGACAAGACTTTCATTTGTAGGCATTTTAAGTTTAAGATGCTTGATAGATGTCCAGCTGGACATGTCCAGTAGGCAATTCCATGTATGAATCTGGAATCAGATTGCCACAAGCTGAAGGGCGAGATTGGGGTGTCACCAGCATCCATAGTTTTCAAAGCCAGAAGATGAGTTAAGGTCACCTAGGGAGTAAGTATAAATAAAGCCCACTGGGAGTTTTAAGGATTGACCACACCAAAGTTTAGATGAGATCATCAGGAACCATGAGAGAGATTGAGAGGCCTGCAGTGCAGTAGGCAGAGAGAGTCCTGACAGTATTCTTGAAGCCAAGGAGAGGAGGTGTTTCAAGGAAGAAGGCATGATCAGCTGCGCTGCCAAATGCTACAAAGAACTGACCATTGATTTAGCATCGTGGAATGGATTCAAGCCAGAGAGGAGAGTAATTGGAGACAGTAAATACAAGCAATTCTTAAAAGTCATTTTGATTTTAAGGGAGGTTGAGAAACAGCTAGCAGAAGAGCCTGGGTGGGGCAGTTTTTTTCTTGTTTTGTTAGGTGGCAGAAATTACATCATGTTTGTGTGCTAATAGAATTATCCAGTAAAGAAGGAGAAATTGATGGTGCAGGAGAGAATTGCTGACTTGTCTTGAGCAGACAGGAGGGGACTGAACCTAGCTCATGAGTTGCCGGGTGAGGATACTTAATCGGAGCAGAGACTGGTCTTTCATACAACAGGAGTAAAAGCAAATATGTGGACGTGGATGCCAGTTGGTAGAAGTGATGGTAGAAGTTTTCCTATGATTGTTTCTAATTCCTCAGTAGAGTAGAAATCATCCATTGAGAGTGAGGATGGGCAGGGAAGTGTTGAGGAATTTTCAGGAGTGGACAAGTCATATATGAATGTGGGGAATAAAAGGGCCAGAGAAAATAGTGGGACTGCTGGTCCACAGAAAGTATCCATTAGAATTTAAAGTGAAATTGGCATGGTGGTGTGTGCACAGGAGGTGTTCAGCAGCATGGGTGGCAGCATAGAAGAGGGCAGAGGGTTGGCCATAATCAGGTTGAGGTTTACTGAACTGGGTGGGGCAAGGGAGTGATTGTAATGGTAAATCATGATCTTAAGCTGGAAAGGAGGCAAGTCCGGAATGAGGGGCTGTAGAGAGTAAAGCAATGTAAAAATCAGTGGGTTATGACTCCTAATAGAGTTAAAAATTATTGGCATTGGCATCCTTGCTGTAAGGAGTGCAGGAAACATAGTAAATGTGCTGGGATTAAAACTGAGATCATGGAGAGGTGCAGTTACTGGTGATCCAAGGCCAGGGAAGACATGGAAGTAGCCCTGGAGGTTGGGTGAAAGATCATTTAGCCTCGAAGGTGGGTTGTGGTGGAAGGCACTCAGTGTTGGGGAGGCTTATTGGGAGCATGCAGGGGTGGCTGTCCTGTTTTTCACTTTTCCCTTAGTCCTTCAAAGGAGGCTCTGAACACTAAGACCCCAGGCTTGAGGGCCACTGAACCATGAGGCTGGAATTCATCCGTTAGTCAGCATCTTTGTTGACTGGTCTACAACTGGTGATTAATCTAACCAAACCACTATTTTTTTCAGCCACTACTTTCCACTTGGTTCACAAAACCATCGTGGGAGAGACTGTGTTAGGTTTAGTGTGCATAAGACCAGAGCAGAACACCCTCTCTCTCCAGGCAGGCAGAAGGAATGAAATCTAGAGGTAATAGTTATTATTAAAATATTAATAGCTCTGGTTCTTTCTGCTTCTGCATGCAGGGTATAATATATGGTTGGTCTTTTCTTTGCAGTTACTGAAAAAATTCAAACACTAGAGAAATCTGTGAAGTAAAATAGAAAGTTCCCTCCTCTCCCCCTCTGTACTTCTAGTGCCTAATAGGTTGCTTTTAAAGCATCATTGCAGAGCTCTCCCTGTCTTTCCCTTTCTTCTTATGCTGGTCCTCAATCCTCCTTGGCACGGATTCCCTTCCCATGGCCCATCGGGCATGCCGCCCCAGGCTGGGCCACCTTACTTGTTTTCAAGAGATTCTCTGATTCCTCCTCATCTGTGCCTGGGGAGAGAAAAGGGGGAATGTGGGAGACACCCGTGGTGGATGGATTCTTGTTGCCACAGGGGGCCCACACCCCATGCCCTGTGCAGCCTCTCCTGGGGTGGAGCCTTCACCCCACCTAGGACTCTCCTCATGCCAGGGACTCACCTGAGGCCCCACCACAGTGGGCAGACAGCAGGAGGACACAGCGGAGCCCACGTCTTTGTCCTCAGAATCAGCACTTAGTGCTTGCTGGGCTCGGCTCCCAGGGAGAGGCTAGCTGGGGGAAGAGGGGTGGCCAGCTTTTCCTCCTCGGCTCATTTGTCCGCTTCACCCCCCTACTCTCTTGCTTTCACCTGGGGCCAGGCACTGAAGGGACCAGACTTGAGAGGTGCAACTGAAGGCCTTGGGGGAGGCGCTGGGGCCTGAGGCACCTCCTGCAGTGCAGTAGGACAGGGTGTCTGGAGGCTCTGCCTGAGGGTTGGGGGAGGGGTGGAGGACAGGCAAACTGGGTGTGAGCGCTGGAAGGAGCAGGGCTCGCTCACCGCCCAGTGACCCTGGTCTGGGAGACCTCCCTCTGCCACATCTCAGCGACCTACCCTGGGTGCTCCCATCTCACTCCTGACCAAGAGTGAGCCAGCCTGGGAGCAGTGTTACCCCAGGTCCTTGGTCTCTAGAATGGTTGCAGGGCTGAGAAGAGAAGATGAAAAGGAGGGAATAAACCAATCAGCTGGCCAATATTTTTGGCTTCCTTTTCTCCTTTTTTTGCTTCAATCTCTATGTCTTTTAATTGGATCTTTGCCTTCCCAAGTCAACCAATACTGGGTCTTCGTTGTGTATAAGGTATTGTGAAAAATGAGGAGCAGGATCTGTAAAGAAGCATGAGTCTTTTCATCTGACTTAAGGTTTTAAATGGATCACACTGGCTACTAGGTTGAGAATGGTTAAGGGTGGAAGCAGGGAAACCAGTCAGATTTGAAATAACTTGGGCAGGAGGTGATGGTGGCTTTGGACTAGGGTTGTAGAGGCAGAAGTGGTAAAAAGTGGCAGATTTTGGTTGCAAGGTAGAGCCACTGGGACTTGTTGATGTTTGGATGTGGGCATGAGAAAAAGAGAGGAGTCAGTAATGACTCCAGGGTTTTTGGTCTGAGCCATTGGAAGTACGGAATTATCATTTACTGAGACGGGACAAACTGTAGGAGGAACAAGTTTTGGGGGCTAGACAAGACTTTCATTTGTAGGCATTTTAAGTTTAAGATGCTTGATAGATGTCCAGCTGGACATGTCCAGTAGGCAATTCCATGTATGAATCTGGAATCAGATTGCCACAAACTGAAGGGCGAGATTGGGGTGTCACCAGCATCCATAGTTTTCAAAGCCAGAAGATGAGTTAAGGTCACCTAGGGAGTAAGTATAAATAAAGCCCACTGGGAGTTTTAAGGATTGACCACACCAAAGTTTAGATGAGATCATCAGGAACCATGAGAGAGATTGAGAGGCCTGC